TTCCTTTATTGACTATAGACATTACCATAATATGTGTACTATGAAAAAAACTCTCTGAATTCCTTTTTTTCCTCTTTTTCAGTAATGCAATAAACTCGTACTAACTTATCTATATGGAGTCCTGCTATGGCACCTAGTACTCGACTGCAAGGTTGCTTTGAACTGCAAGGTCAATGGTTCAAACTTACCAGCCATTCCTCAGAAACTTTATACAGTGTTGTAATAAGCAGGAACTGACTCAACGACATGTAACAACAACTTGTTATACAAGATGTCTAAACAAGATTTTTGAGGCAGTAAGAAGAGTAAGACATCAATTTGAAAACAATCCCTATCAATGCAACATGAATTCTGCTAAAATTGAAGCAAGAACAAACATTAAATTTATGATGAAGCTTGGGTGGAAGAATGGTGAAATCACTGATACTTTATGAAAAGTTTATGGGGAAAACACTCCAAAGAAATCAGCAGTTGGTAAACGGATAACTCATTTCATGAGACTATGTTGTAGATGAAGCCCAAAGCAGCAGACCATCCTCATCATTTGTGAGGGAAACATTAATCTTGTTCATGTCCTAACTGAAGAGGACTGACAATAAGCAGCACAAATAGTCAACACCATAGACATGTCAATTAGTCCAGCTTATGTAATTCTGAAAATTAAAGTTGAACAAACTTATTGCTCCAGAGGGGTCAAAACTGTTGTAGCCAGATCAGCTGCAGATAAGAGCAGAGCTTCCAATGGGATTTTAAACAAGTGGGATGGAGAGCCTGAGGCATTTCTTGGAAGAATGGTAACAGGAAATGAAACACGTCTTTACCAGTACAATCCTGAAAACAAAGGCCCATCAAAGCAATGGCTACCAAGAGGTAGAAGTAATCCAGTCAAAGTAAAAGCAGAACAAAGGCCTTGGCAACAGTTTTTAGTTCGGAATGTTCAAGGCATTTTACTTATTAACTTTCTGGAGGACCAAAGAACCATTGTTGTCAGGTGCCCTCACGTAGGTTTCCAGTCACACTGATCCTATATACAACAGAAAAGGACACTGTTCCAGTCCTGAGCCATCCTCACAACTGTTATGTTTGATTTCATTGTTCAAACCATCTCACTGAGCATCTTCATCTTTTTTCATGACCCTCTACTTTACCAAGCATGATGCCCTTTTCCAAGGACGTAACCCTCCTGATTAACATGTACAAAGTACATGAGAGAAAGTCTCGACCATCCTTGCTACTAAAGAGCATTCCGGCAATACTTCTTCCAGGACAGATCTGTTTGTTCTTCTAGCAATCCATGGAACTTGAAATATTCTTTGTTGACACCACAATCCAAATGCATAGGTTCTTCTTTAGTTCTCCATATTCACTGTCCTGCTTTCCAATGTGTATGAGGTGACTGACACACCTTAGTCCTCGAAGTTTCCCTTTGCTCTTTAAAGAGATCTTTTGTAGCAGAATTGCACAAGGCAGTAAGTCATTTAATTTCTTGACTGCTATTAAGAAATTAATTAAATGTTAATTAAATGGATTAATGAAATTAATTTAATTTCATGAACATTGTGGATCAAAGTAAAAGGAAATCATTGACAACTTCAATCTTTTCTCTGTTTATCATATTGTTGGGAGGATTTTTGTTTTCTTTACATTGAGTTGTAATCCATACATTAGGCTGTAGTCTTTGAACTTCATCAATATTTTAAGTCTTCATTTTCTGCAAATAAAGTTGCATCATCTGTATATCGCAAGTTGTTAATGAGTCTCCTCCAATCCTGATGCCTCATTCTTTATCATGTAGTCCAGCTTCTCATTTATTTGCTCAGCATACAGAATGAGTAAGTATGGTGTAAGGATACAACCATGGCACATACTTTTCCCAGTTTTAAACTAGACAGTATTCCTCTGTTCTGTTCAAACTGCTTGGTCTATGTTCAGGTTCCTCAGGAACACAATTAAATGTTTTGGAATTCCAATTCTTTGCAATGTTATCCAATAGTTTGTTATGTTCCACACAGTTGAATACCTATGTATAGTCAACAAAACACAAGTAAATATCTTTCTGGTATTCCCTGCTTTTAGCCAAAATCCATCTAATGTCAGCAAAGATATTTATTGTTCCACATCCTCTTCTGAATTCAGCTTGAATTTCTGGAAGCTCCCTGTGAATGTACTGCTGCAACTGGTTTTAAATGACTGCAGCAAATTACCCCTTGCATGTGATATTAATGATACTGTTGGATAACTTATGCATTCTGTTGGGTCACTGCTCTTTGAAATAGTCACCAATATGGATCTCTTCTAGTCAGTAGGCCAGGTAGCTGTCTTCCACATTTATTAGCATAGACTAGTGAGTACTTTCAACACTGCAACAGTTTGCTGAAACATTTCAGTTGGTATTCTGTCAATTCCTGGAACTTTGTTTTTTTGTTAATGTCTTCATTACAGCTTCGACTTCCTTCAATACCATTGGTTCTTGAGCATATGCTACCTTTTGAAATGGTTCAATATTGACCAATTCTTTTTGGTACCGTGACTCTCTGCATTCTTTCCATCTTCTTTGATATTAACTGCATCATTCAGTATTTTGCCTATTTGTTGTCGTTTCTAAGTGCCGTCAAGTTGGTTCTGATTCAGCAACCCTTTCCAAGGAGTAAGTGGTGGGTTTGAACGGCCGACCTATTTTGCCCATGAAAGCACTCAGTACTGCAACTCAAGACTTGATTTTTTTCTTCAGTTCTTTCTGCTTGAGAAATGCTGAACATGGTCCACTCTTTTGGTTTTCTAACTCCAGGTCTTCATACATTTCATTGTTTACTTTGTCTTTTTAAGCCATCTTTAAATTTTTCTGTTTAGCAATTTTACTTCATTTCTTCCAGTCACTTTAGCTATTTTCATTCAGGAGCAACTTTCAGAGTCTCTTCTGACATCCATCTGCTCTTTTCTTTCTCATGTTTTTATTGACCTTTTTGCTTTCTTCATGTATGATGTTCTTGATGTCATCATGCAACAACTTTGGTCTTCAGGAATTAAGTGTTCAACATGTCACATCTGTTCTTGAGATAGTCTCTAAATTCAGGTAGGGTATACTCAAGGTCATATTTTGGCTCTTGTGGACTTGTTTTAATTTGCCTCAGCTTCGGCCTAAACTTGTGTATGAGCAATTGGTTGTCTGTTCTACAGTCTGCTACTGGCCTTGTTTTAGCTGATGATACGGAGCTTCTCCATTGTTTCATTCCACATATATGGTCAATTTGATTCCTGTGCATTCCACCTGGTGTGGTCCACATCTACTGTCACCATTTATGTTGTTGTAAAAAGGTATTTGCAATGAATAAGTCATTAGTCCTGCAAAATTCTGTTATGTGATCTCTACCATCATTTCTATCAGAAAGGCCATATTTTCCAACTACTGAACCATCTTCTTTGTTTCTAATGTTCACATTTAAATCACCAGAAATTATCCATGCTTCTTGATTATGTTTGATTAATTTCAGACTGAAGAAATGAATTGTTGTTGCTCTTATTAAGTGTACCTGAGTCAATTCCAACTCACAGCAATGCTGTCAAGGGTTTCCAAGAAGTGGATGATGGCTTTGAACCACCAACCTTGCAGTTAGTATTCCAGTGCTTACCTACAGGGCCATACCAGAACTCTGAATAACTTTGTAGAATTCTTCAATTTCTTCATCACTGGCTTTGGCGATTTGTGTGTAAGTTTGAATAATGGTTGTATTAACTGATCATCCTTGTAAACATTCAGATCATATCTTATCACACATAGCTTTTAATTTCAAAAATCTTGAAATGTTCTTTTTGATGATTAATGGGCTATCATTGCTCTCCAATTTCCCACTCCCAACACAGTAAACCACATGACTGTCTGATTCAAAAATGGTCAATACCAGTCCATTCAAAGCATTCACTACCAGTCCTTTTCGGCTTTCCTCCATTCACGTTATTAAAGTCAATCCTACTTTGAGGAGTCACTTCTTCCTCAGTTGTATTTTGAGTGCCTTTCAACCTGAGATGGCTCATCTTCTAACACTCTATCAGACAATGTTTATCGGCTATTCATAGGATTTTCAAGGGCTAATCCCTCAGAAATGGATCAAATATTACTTCTTCCTGGTCTGTTCTTAGAGTCCTATTGTGGCACTATGGGATAAGCACTAGACCTAAAGGTTGGTTTGAACCACAAGTCGCTACGAGTCAGAACAACAACAGTCTGTTTTTCGTCTGGAAGTTCTGCTGAAACCTGTCCACCATGGATGCTGCTGCTGTTATTTGAAGCACCAGTGGCATAGCTTCCAGCATCACAGCAACATATAAGCTACCATAATACAAAAAAACTACAGATGTGTGTCAAAGACATGATAACATTGGCTTGTTATAAGCGTGTTTTGAGACAGTCAACCAAAGCTGTAGTAGAAAGACACCAGGGAAAGCTTCATCAGAGAGCCCTCCTCCACTACGACAATGCTCCTATTCATTCCTCTCCTCAAACAAGGCTGATTTTTAAGAGTTTCTGTGAGAAGTCACTAGACATCCACCTTACAGTCCTACTGGGCCCTTCAGACAGTTTTCACTTGCTAATAACCTTAACAAATCTTTAAAGGGAACCCATTTTTCATCAGTTACTAATGGAAACGTGACTGCATCGACATAGTTGAAGTCCCATGACCTTCAGTCCAGTAAGGATGGCCTGAATCGCTGGTCTCACCGCTTACAAAAGTGGCTTGTCCTGGTGTTTACATGGAGTGAATTATCTAGGAAGATGAGTCATGTCTTCAGTATGTTTTTGTTAAGTCTATGATGACATTTTAACTCTTTAAAATCAACTCCAGAAGAATGGCGATGCAAAGTTGTCAAATATGTACAATCACTTACAGCTTCAACATTTTATAACAATTCAAGTAAACTATCATTACTGGAGTCAGGGAGCGCAGGGGAAGGGAGGGCTGGAGGAGAGGGAAAGAAGTAATGGGGGAAGAGAAGAAACGTACCTGAACATGGGTTAGCCAACGTTACAAATAAAAGCCCGCTTTTCATCTTCTTTGAAGCATCTTTCAAATACTCTGAAAAGAGATGATGAATTTGTAAAATTAAAAGACGTTTGATGCTCATCTTATTTACACAACCCAGTTTTCTTCTCCTACTTATGTGATTTTTGCTTTCTCAAACGGAACTTAGTTCTTGTTAACACTTACAAACTTTGTGATCTTGAGCAACTTCTCAATTATCCTGTTACTCATAGTAAGATTTCAGGTAGTTTTAGTTTCGTTCTATGAGCAGTGATGAACAGCAAAGCTCTTGAATCATATGGCCTGGGTTAGATCTTGCTTCAATCATTTGAATATGTCAGACTTTGGACAACATATCAGGAGGGACCTATCCCGGAGAGGGATATCAGCTTGGAAAATTGGAGGGTCAGCAAAAAGCAGGAAGACCCCAATGAGATGGACACTGGCAGCAGCAATGGGCTGAGGCGTAATGATTGTGAGGATGGCACATGGTCAGGCAGTGTTTGGTTCTGTTTGCATAGGGTTGCTAGGAGTAGTGCTGAACTGACTCCATGGCACTAACTCCAACAGTATTTGCCCAATTGTTAGAAGCTTTCAACAGACTAATGCTTTGAAAGGCAAGTCTACTGTCATTATTTTATCAATCTGGCAACTAAAACAGGAAATTTAAGAATTTGTCTAGTCTTGATGTACAACACCAGTACAACTGGTCAACTCAATGAAAAATTATTAGAGTTAGGATCTCGCCTGCATTTATTCTTGTTTGTTGCTAAGTGCCGTCGAGTCGATTCTGACCCATAGCAGCCCTGTATAGGGTTTCCAAGGAGCAGCTGGTGAGCTTGAACCACCAACCTTGCAGTTCAAACGACTTTGCAGTCTGATGCATTAGCCTGCAGTGCCACACTAGGACTCCTGCATTTATTACACCTAGATATATTCCAGATAGGTTAAAGATACAATATAAAAGTTTTCAAAGAAAATCTAGGTAATTATATAATAATCTTGAAGGTTTTTGTGTCTGACACAAAAGGTACAGATAAAGGACAAGATGGATATGATTACAAACCAGTATTTTATTTCTTCTATGAGGCAAGAAAAAGAGCACTGGTGGTATAGTAGGTTATGTGTTAAACTGCTAACCTAAAAGTCAGCAGTTCAAATCCACCAGCTGCTCCATGAGAGAAAGATGAGGCTGACTGCTCCCATAAAGATTTGAAACCCCGGAAACACTATAAAGGGTCACTATGAGTCAAAACCAACGGCTGTAGCACATCACCACCACCACCACGTCGTAAGAAATCATGGACAGAGTTAACAAAAAGATTCCTGATAAAGAAACAAACTGAAGATGAACACTTCACTGACATGATTAGTTAATCACAGTTAGGAGCAAAACGATAAATGGACAATACAGTTATTTTTAAAAATTGCTGACTTCATAGCAACAGTTAATAATAAAAACAATAATGCTAATCATAATAGCTTCGATTTATTGTGTGTTCCTGTTTGCCTGACACAGACTGCCCTCTTACTAAACCTTTTTTTATATTACCAATTTCATGTTACCAGTTCAGGTACTAAATCTAGCTAAGAATAAAACAATGTCTGTACCCTCAAGTAAGAAATACATTCAACAAATCCCTTCATCTTCTCTTCTCTGTCTCTCTCCCATGTATAATCCATCAGTCCTTGTCCTCTGCCTGCACCTCTCAATCACCAATCTCTACAGAGTGGGGAATAAGGCCCAGATATGCTAGCACCTGGGAGAACTAGGTTTAGAACTGCACTGTGCAACTGAAATTAAAAATGCATTCCACAAATGTGACAGCACCTGAAAACAACATCAACAATGGTATGTTTCAGTACTTTATTCTTTTTCATTGCCAAACAATTTCACCATATGGAAATACCACATTTTGTTAATCCATTTACCAACTGATGAGCATTTAGGTTGTTTCCACTTGTTTTACTGCTGTAAATGATATTGCTATGAACATCCATCCATGTGTAAGCTTTCTGTGCAAACATGTACCTTCATTTCTGCAGGAATTTATCATTAACTGCCCCCAAGTCAACCCTGAGTCATGGCAACTCCATGTATTAAAGAGTAGAGCTCCTCCACATGGGCTTCTTGGCTGTGATCTTCATGCATGCGGGTCACCAGTTCCCTGAATAGATTTGAACCTTAATGCTAGCAGACCACTGCAAACTGCTGTACCACCCACACATGAAGCAGACTTCAAAAAGTTCATGAAAAAGTCCATGACCTTTTAATTACAGTTTTCTACAAGCTTCTGAAGGCCCCTGGTACATGAGTGACATATCTGGGTCCTAGAGGAACTCAGTGTTTAAACTTCTGAAGACTGTTTTCCCAAGTGACTCTGTACTTCACATTCCCAGCAGCAGCATATGCGGGTTGTAATTTGTCCATATTCTCAGCAACCTTTGGCATTTTCTTTTTAATTATATCCATCCATGTGGGTGTAAAGTTGTATTCCTTTGTGGTTTAGATATTGGACATCTGTATAAATATTTTGGAGACGATCTATTCAAGTCCTTTCTTGATTTTTTGCTAACTGAACTAAATGTTTACATTATCGAGTAGTAAAATTCTTTATAGATGCTGGATACAATTCGCTTATCAGATTTTGAGCTGCAAACATTTTCCCTCATACTAAGAGCCCCAAACAAATAGATATACGCACTGTCAGGTTCAACACTGCACTCGTCACAATAGCAAAAAGATGGCAACAACCATCGACAGAGGAATGGATAAACAAACTTTGGTACATACACACAATGAAATGCCATGCAGCATTGAAGAATAACAATGAATCTGTGAAATACCTCATAACTTGGATGAACCTGGAAGACATTATGTTGAGTGAAACCAGTCAATCATAAAAGGGCAAATATTCAAAGACTCCTGTTGCAGAAAGTCAAGAAAATGTTCCCACATTAAATGAGAGATTCTTTGATGGTTATTGGGGTGGAAGTGAAGGGAGGGTAATTCACTGGCTACTGTGGTATGACTGTAGGATAGGCACTGGACTGCTAACCACAAACCCACTACCTGCTCTTAACAAACCCTATGCAGGGTTTCTGTGAGTTGGAATCGACTCAATGGCACTTAACAACAACAGAGGGTAGACATGTGCTAACTTGGATGAAGGGAAAGCAATACACAATAGAAGGTAGGCAGAAGAATGATGAAGGCATGGGAAGACACAGGGAGGATTGCAAGAGTTAAAACCAACAGGGGTAAATACTGTCATATACTGGTGTGACGCTGTAGGATAAGCACTGGACCACAATGTCAGTTTGTACCACAAAGTCGGCAGTTCAAACTCACCAGCTGCTCCTCAAAAACCCTATATAGGTTTGCTATGAATCAGAACAAACTCAAAGGCATTCAACAACAACACAATACTACAGAAATGGTGATTTATGAGTAGATACATGGACTGACACATAGACTGACATAAAGACCAAACAGGTGTGGGCACACACCCACAAACGTATACATGTTTCACAGAGGGTATCTGTACATGGGTATTTACCTGTGCTGCAAACATATCCATTAATTTGGTGGAACATACAGGGAGCAAAGTTGTAAAAACTTCTTAAGACATGACCAAACCCCTTGAGAGAATGAGTTGTTGGGTCTGGGGGCTCAGGACCCTAGTATCAGGGGACAACATGGTCAAGTGACATAACATAGTCTGCAAAGACAGTGTTCTACAATCTACTCTGGTGAGCAGTGACTAGGATCTTAAAAGTTCATGAGTGTCATCTAAGGTGCAACTATCAGTCTCTCTCTGCCTGGAGGAAACAAGAATGTTGAAAATTGAAGACAGCTGGAACACCATTCTTGAGACCAGAACTGGATAGCACTTGGCTACCACTACCAAATGATCTGAAAGGATTCCCATTAGAAGACCCTGGGTAAAGTGGGAGAAAATATGGACCAAAACTCAAATTCATAAAAGAGAACAGGGGAAGACTTCCGGCACTTCCCTGACCAGGCAGCTCATGTAGGGCAGTCTCGGGGAAAAGGGGCAGAATCGCACATAAGACACCTCTGTCTAGCAGACAGACAGTCTTGAACAAACATAAGATCTTATTTTTCAACATTCTGAACTAGTTTTTTTAAAAGATCAAATTTCTGAGGAATTACAGGCATTTTGAGCTTTTGCCTACCTGCACGTGGCTCCTGCTTCCGTGCCCATGCCAGCAAGTGCCTCTGGCACCTGCAAACCTTGGAATGCAGAGCTAGAGCAACCCCACTTAGAAGGCTGCATTTCCAGAGAAAAGGAAACATAAACTAATAAAGTCGAACAAATAGAGAGGGATATCAGCACGGATATCAGGAAATTCGGGGTACCCACAGTACAGGGAGACTGAGAGTGGCATTTTTTACATCATCAAATATGGACACTACCTCTCTGCAGCCATTACCTCCAGCCCTCTACTGCCCAGGCCTAGACCTGCCCTCTGCCAAGCCTCTGAGGCTCAGGAACACCCAAGGCACAGGCCTGCCCACTGAGGCCAAGGTCCGCACTGTGGCACAACCCGCCCACAGACTGGTCACAAAGGCCCAGGCACAACCAAGGCCCCAAACGCCTACCCGCCTCATGGCCCAGGCAGTCCACGGCCCAGTCGCCGCCGAGGTCAAGGGTCCCCAAGGCCCAAAGCAATGAGTAGCCAGGTCGCTGAGGCCCAGGGCCCCGGAGGCCCAACCCGCCACATAGCCCGGTTGCCAAAGCCCAGTGCCCCAAAGACCCAACCCGCCCTCAGCCCGGTCCCCGAGGCACAGGTCCCCCGAGGCCCAATCCACCCCGCCCGCCCGCTGAGGCCCAAGACGCCCGATGCCCAGCTGCTGATACCCAGACCCCTGAGGCCCAAACCACCCGCCTGAGGCCCAACACTCCTGCAGCCCAGTCGCTGACACCCCGGCCCCTGGAGGCTCAAACCACCCGTCCTAGGCTCAACCCACCAGCCCGAGGCCCAAACGGCCCGCCGCCGAGGCCCAAGACCAAATGAGGCCAAAAAAAATAAATAATAAATACTCCAAGTTAAAAAACAAGGAGAGTGAAAAGGGAA